GCTTGTACTCCTCAGTTCTCCAGCAGTACGCCTTCTCACTCTCAGCTCCTAGTGCCTCTTGCTCCCAGCTCCTCACACGCACACCACAAACTGAAGTGAGCTCCTTTTTAAACCCAGATGCCCTGATTAACCTGCCTTAATTGATTCTAGCAGCTTCTTGATTGGCTGCAGGTGTTCTAATCAGCCTGTCTGCCTTAATTGTTTCCAGAAAGTTCCTGATGTTCTGGAACCTTCCCTGTTACCTTACCCAGAGAAAAGGGTCCTACTTAACCTGGGGCTAATATATCTGCCTTCTGTTACTCTTCTGTAGCCATCTGGCCCGACCCTGTCACACACCATACAGGCACTCCTTCAGTCTTCTAGAATTTCTCCAGTATTACAGCCAGTGGAGGGTGTGCCTACACTGCACCACACCCCCAATTAAGAATCACAGATTCATAGAGTTGAAGCCCAGAAGAGACCACCAAATTATCTGCAGTAGGACCTCAGAGTTACACACACCTCAGGAATGGAGGTTGTTCATAACTCTGAAATGTTTGTAACTTTGAACAAAACATTACGGTTGTTCTTTCAAAAGTTTATAACTGAACATTGACTTAATACAGCTTTAAAACTTTACTATGCCAAAAAAAATGCTGCTTTTAACCATCTTAATTTAAATGAATCAAGTACAGAAAGTTCTTTACCTTGTCAAATCTTTTTTTAAACTTTCCCGCTATTTTTTTCGTAGTTTATGTTTAATACAGTACTGTACTGTATTTGACTTTTTTTTTTCCGTCTCTTCTGCTGCCTGATTGCCTGCTTCCGATTCCAAATGAGGAGTGTGGTTGACCAGTCAAGGAACTATCATGTGATTGGAATAACAGAAACTTGGTGGGGTAACTCACATGACTGGAGCACTGTCATGGATGGGTATAAACTGTTCAGGAAGGACAGGAGGGGGAGAAAAGGTGGAGGAGTTGTACTGTATGTAAGAGAGTGGAATGATTGCTCAGAGCTCCAGTATGAAACTAGAGAAAAGCCTATTGAGTGTCTTTGGGTTAAGTTTAGAGGCAAGAGGAAAAAGGGTGATGTCATGGTGGGCGTCTGCTATAGACCACCAGACCAAGAGGATGAGGTAGACAAGGCTTTCTTCGGACAAGTAACGGAAGTTTCCAGATCACAGGCCCAGGTTCTCATGGGGGACTTCAAATCACCCTGACATCTGCTGGAAGAGCAATACTGCAGTGCACAGACAATCCAGGAAGTTTTTGGAGAGTGTTGGGGACAACTTTCTGGTGCAAGTGCTGGAGGAACCGACTAGGGGCCATGCTCCTCTTGACCTGCTGCTCACAAACAGGGAAGAATTGGTAGGGGGAAGTAAAAGTGGTTGGCAACCTGCGCAGAAGTGACCATGAGATGGTTGAGTTCGGGATCCTGACACAGGGAAGAAAGGAGAGCAGCAGAATATGGACCCTGAACTTCAGAAAAGCAGACTTTGACTCCCTCAGGGAACTGATGGGCAGGATCCCCTGGGAGGCTAATATGAGGAAGAAATGAGTCGAGGAGAGCTGGCTGTATTTTAAAGAAGCCTTATTGAGGGTGCAGGAACAAACCATCCCAATGTGCAGAAAGAATAGCAAATATGGCTGGTGACCATCTTGGCTTAACAGAGAGATCTTCGGTGAGTTTAAACACAAAAAGGAAGCTTACAAGAAGTGGAAACTTGGACACATGACTAGGGAGAAGTATAAAAATATTGCTCGAGCATGCAGGGGTGTAATCAGGAAGGCCAAGGCACAATTGGAGTTGCAGCTAGCAAGGGATGTGAAGGATAACAAGAAGGGTTTCTACAGGTACGTTAGTAACAAGGTGGTCAGGGAAAGTGTGGGACCCTTACTGAATGGGGGAGGCAACCTAGTGACAGATGTGGAAGAAGCTGAAGTACTCAATGCTTTTTTTGCCTCAGTCTTCACAGACAAGGTCAGCTCCCAGACTGCTGCACTGGGTAGCACAGTATGGGGAGGAGATGAGCAGCCCTCAGTGGTGAAAGACCAGGTTAAGGACTATTTAGAAAAGCTGCATATGCACAAGTCCATGCGACCGGATGCAATGCAGCTGAGGGTGCTGAGGGAGTTGGCTGATGTGATTGCAGAGACATTGGCCATTATCTTTGAAAACTTGTGGCAATCAGGGGAGGTCCTGGACAAATGGAAAAAGGTAAATATAGTACCCATCATCTAAAAAGCGAAGAAGAAGAATCCAGAGAACTACAGACTGGTCAGCCTCACCTCAGTCCCTGGAAAAATCATGGCGCATGTCCTCAAGGAATTCATTTTGAAGCACTTGGAGGAGAGGAAGGTGATCAGGAACAGTTAACATGGGTTCACCAAGGGCAAGTCATGCCTGACCAACCTGATTGCCATCTATGATGAGATAACTGGCTCTGTGGATATGGGGAAAGCAGTGGACATGATATGTCCTGACTATAGCACAGTTTTTGATATGGTCTCCCACCATATTCTTACCAGCAAGTTAAAAAAAGTATAGATTGGCTAAACGGACTATAGGGTGGATAGAAAGCTGGCTAGATCATCGGGCTCAGTGGGTAGTGGTCAACGGCTCAATGTCTAGTTGGGAGCTGGTATCAAGTGGAGTGCCACGAGGTCTGTCCTGGGGCTGGTTTTGTTCAACATCATCATTAACGATTTGGATGATGGGATGGATTGTACACTCAGCAAGTTCGCAGATGACACTAAGTTGGGGGGAGAGGTAGATACACTGGAGGGTAGGGGTATGGTCCAGAGTGACCTAGACAAATTTGAGGATTGGGCCCAAAGAAATCTGATGAGGTTCAACAAGGACAAGTGTAGAGTCCTGCACTTAGGACGGAAGAATTCCATGCACTGCTACAGGCTGGGGACTGACTGGCTAAGCGGCAGTTCTGCAGAAAAGGATTACAGTGGACGAGAAGCTGGATACGAGTCAACAGTGTGCCCTTATTGCTAAGAAGGCTAATGGCATATTGGGCTGAATTAGTAGGAGCATTGCCAGCAGATTGAGGGAAGTGATTATTCCCCTCTATTCGGCACTGGTGAGGCCACATCTGGAGTATTGCATGCAGTTTTGGTGCCCCCACTACAGAAAGGATGTGGACAAATTGGAGAGAGTCCAGTGAAGTGCAACAAAAATGATTAGGGGGCTGGGGCACATGATTTATGAGGAGAGGCTGTGGGAACTGGGCTTATTTAGTCTGCAGAGGAGAAGAGTGGGGATGGATTAGATAGCAGCCTTCAACTAAGATTAAAGAGGACAAAAGAAAGGCTGTTGTTTACTCTTCCCACCCCCGGGAAGATGAGTCTTGCAAGTGAATTGCTTCCATCAGCTGAGTTGGCAGATCAAAGCAGAAGTGAGGAAGTGAATAAAACCCCTGAACAAGCAGGAACTGTATCTTTATACTGCTTGGACTCTGGGGGGAACAAGGATTACTAGAATAAACAAAAGATTCCCAGTGCTTATCCTGGGTTAGCCCTAAAGGACATACAGACCTTGCTTATTATAGACGCTTCTATTACTTTTTGAAAGTTAAGATTGTAAGTTATTATCTGCTTTAACCTTGTCAAAAAAATATCGTTACCTTTTCCTATTTAGTAAATCTTTAGATAGTTTAGTATAGGATTGGCTACAAGCGTTGTCTTCAGTGTGAGCTCTAACATGCAATTCAGGACTGGGCGTAACCTGAATATTGCTGTGATTCGTGGTGTAAGGGCCATCTATCACAAGGGCAAGCTTCCCTAGGTGGCGAGACAGGGAGTACCGACTGTCTGTGATTCCATGTTAAGGCTGTTACAGTGCCTAAGGAGTATACACTTGATAACTCGTTGGTGAAATCTAAGTATAGAGCTCTCAACCAGTTTGGGGTTTGTGCCGGTTTTTTAAAAAAAAAACCAAAAAAACAGTCTGCCCTGAGGTTGGTACTCATGCTCTTGAGCCACTGCAGGACAGCTTGATAATGAGTACAGTAAATGTCCCTAAGCTTTCGTACCTATAAATGTTATGTATCTTTGTCAGATAAGGATTGTATTCTAGCTCCATGGGGGAGGGTAATAGAGCTAACTCCAGCAACTACAATAAGTGTGTGTGTGTGGGGGGTGAATCCTGCAGATCCCAGGACAGGTAAACAACTCCAGATAATTACCAGTTCTTGGGGGGCATTTCACATACTGATTCAGACCAGGTTCAAGAGACCCAGATGACAAAGGCTCAGCCTGAACTGATTGAGTGGCCCTCATTTGATCCTCAAATTAACATTAGACTGTAACTGAGAGGGAAAAACCTTGCCCTACCAGGGTCTCCACATGGATGATGGGTGTCACCCGGTAAGCTTAACACATACGTAGACAATTTTTTTTAAATTATATTTAGGACAAAAGCATTACAGAATATATATATATATTGTGCTCTGTGAAACAACCATCATAGCCACTGGGAAAGAGTAGAACTGCAGGCAATAAAGTCAGACCTGCTGGGATAAGCATAGTGAATCGGAAGGGGGACTACAAGCCTAAATACCTAGTCTGGAGGGAGAGGGACATGGGTCCCTGCCCATGGAGAGGTGGTGGCTGGAGGCCTGAGTCTTAAAGGGGTGCCTTTGAGTAGACAAAGGCAGAGGTGCAGTTAACCCTGGAACTGTGATATCTCCATCACTGGACGTTCTAACAAAGTTTGGATATTTTCTAAAAGAGACGCTCTAGTGTAAATAGGAATTCATTCAGGGATGTCCTATGGCCTGTGTTAAGCAGGTCAGACTAGATGATTGCAACGGTCCCTTCTGGCCTAATAATCTAGGAGCCCCAATGTTGGGTGCACACTGTGCAGACCTCCTACCCCAAATATTCTGAAAGGATGTGGCAGAGAGCCCCAAGCTGCCCCTCAGGTCCAATGGAGCAAAGGCAGCTTGGAACCTCTGTGGAGTCCCTTCCTGACAGGCCTAAAGGGGCAGAAGGGCCTGGGAGCCTCACCTGCAGGGTCAGCTCTGCATTGACCATCTGCTTTCTCTGACACTTGTCATGCTCTGTGATTCTCCTGTTCAGTTCACAGTAGGCCTGCTGCAGCTGCATGGGAGGAAAAAGGAGGAAACAGATGGGAAAGATGAAGGTGGCCCCCAACACAACTTTGTCTTAGGTGGGGAGGAAAACAGAATCCTTTGTCACATCTGCAAGGCTTAAATTCTTTGTCCCTATGCTCTAGATGGGGCTGCAACATTCCTGTCACACACAGCGGATAAATTCTACCCTACTGTTCTCAGGAGGGACAGTAAACCCCTGGTCTGGATCAGATGTTGGGACCAGTTGGCTGGCTGTATAAAAAGGTCAAAGTGGACTGACCAATAGCTAGGGCAGGCTGGCTGGCAATCTCTATGCAAGTGCAACTGAGCAGCATGAATATCTGTCCCAGGCATGCACCGTGAGGAGTACAGAACATATCCCATCAACTCTCTCCTGGAGACAGAGCAGATGGAATTGTGTTTTCTCCATGCAGGTACAAACCATTCTTGCACAAATGATACCAATTAGCAAGTGCTGCCCCTCTCTTTAAGACTAGAAGGGCTGACATCTAAGTCCAGAGATCAGCATCTAAATGCACACCAATTCCAGCTCAATCCCATCAGGGATCAGCTGACCAGGAAAGTCGGGCACTGAAGAATAAGAAGAAGTATGGCCACCACAGGGAAGGGCTGGAAATGGGGAAAAAATGATACCTGGGGGCTGTTTCATAGTTTCTAAAAAGAGCTGGCCTGACCTCCTTGTTACATCTCTCCTGCACTTTAGACAGCTGCTCCACCTCCTCGTTCATTCTATGGGAAAGAACAACACAGTTCAGTTTCTGAGTCCTTCACAGTGGGGAGGGGCACAGCAGCATTGCAGTTTCTGGACCCCCTTTCCTGATTCTAAAAGATGTCCTGATCAGACGAAGTGAGGAAAAGGAACCAAATGACATCACCCCCTGCAATGGGACAAACTCTTGGGCAACACCTGGGACATAAACTTGAGGTTCCTTCTTTTACCCCTTCTTAACTTACTATTCTGCCTCTTTCTTCGCTTCTTTTGCCTTTTGTCTCATAAAGTCCGAGTTCTCAAACTGTAACCCATTCAAAAGGTAAAAAACACTTTCAGTGCAACAGTGTTTGTGACTGCTGTATCTAACTATCTTCCCTTTCCTGGCTAGGGCTGGGGTGCAGCTCTCACCGGTGAGTCTCAGCTTCTTTCTGCTTCTTTTCCAGCAAGGCTCTTCTTTGCTGTTCTGCCTCCATCTTCTGTAGCATCAACTCAGTCAGGCTGATGTCCCAGGACTGCAGAATGGCAACCAAGCTATCCAAAGAAGCAATCTTATTGGAAACAAACACAAACACCACTGTGGCTGTAAATACATAAAATTAATGGTTGCGACCCACTCTCCAAACTCCAATCTCAGCAGCACCAACAATGGGTACTAAGGCTGGGAACATAATCCTTCATCTAAGATAAGTGGGACCAAAGAAAGGGCAATCTGCACCACTAACATCATAGGCACTGCTAACCCTATGTAGTTTCCTTAATCCAAATAATCACTCTTAACTTGAGGGACTGTCCTGTTGACACTATTTTACTCTTTGTATGAATGAACCTGATAGGATGATTTATCTCACTCTTGTAGTTAAACAGTCTGCATCACTGCCATATATGAGTGCCTATCAACCATCCTTTGCTCACATAAAGAACGGTTACTTACCCTACATTAACTGTAGCTCAAGATGTATTGTCCGCATGGGATTCCGATTTTGGTGCTCATGTGCCCCATGCATGTAAGATCGGATTCTTTTGAACAGCAGTGTCTGTCAGGGCCATGCCTGTACCCTGGGCATTGTTGCAACCCCCAACAGCTGAGGTTATAAGGGGCAGGATGGCCTCAACCACCTCTTCATTCCCTTGCCAATAAGGATCCCTAGGGTAATTACCCTAGGGTAATTAATGAGTACAGTAAATGTCCCTAAACTTTTGTATCCATAAATGTTATGTATCTTCTTTTAGCAAAGACAGACAGCAGAACATGGAATCATAGAATCATAGAATATTGGGGTTGGAAGGGACCTCAGAAGGTCATCAAAGCAGGACCAATCCCCAGCTAAATTATCCCAGCCAGGGCTTTGTCAAGCCTGACCTTAAAAACTTCTAAGGAAGGAGATTCCACCACCTCCATAGGTAACGCATTCCAGTGTTTCACCACCCTCCTAGTGAAAAGGTTTTTCCTAATATCCAACCTAACCCCCCCCCACTGCAACTTGAGACCATTACTCCTTGTTCTATCATCTGCTACCACTGAGAACAGTCTAGATCCATCCTCTTTGGAACCCTCTTTCAGATAGTTGAAAGCAGCTATCAAATCCCACCTCATTCTTCTCTTCCGCAGACTAAACAATCCCAGTTCCCTCAGCCTCTCCTCATAACTCATGTGTTCCAGTCCCCTAATGATTTTTGTTGCCCTCCGCTGGACTCTTTCCAATTTTTCCACATCCTTCTTGTAGTGTGGGGCCCAAAACTGGACACACTACTCCAGATGAGACCTCACCAATGTCGAATAGAGGGGAACGATCACATCCCTCGATCTGCTGGCAATGCCCCTACTTATGCAGCCCAAAATGCCATTGCCCTTCTTGGCAACAATGGCACACTGTTGACTCATGTCCAGCTTCTCGTCCACTGTCACCGCTAGGTCCTTTTCTGCAGAACTGCTGCAGAGCCATTCGGTCCCTAGTCTGTAGCGGTGCATGGGATTCTTCCGTCCTAAGTGCAGGACTCTGCACTTGTCCTTGTTGAACCTCATCAGATTTCTTTTGGCCCAATCCTCTCATTTGTCTAGGGCCCTCTTTATCCTATCCCTACCCTCCAGCGTATCTACCTCTCCTCCCAGTTTAGTGTCGTCTGCAAACTTGCTGAGGATGCAATCCACACCATCCTCCAGATCATTTATGAAGATATTCAACAAAAGCGGCCCGAGGACCAACCCTTGGGGCACTCCACTTGATACCGGCTGCCAACTAGACATGGAGCCATTGATCACTACCTGTTGAGCCCGACAATCTAGCCAGCTTTCTATCCACCTTATCATCCATTCATCCAGCCCATAATTCTTTAACTTACTGGCAAGAATACTGTGGGAGACCATGTCAAAAGCTTTGCTAAAGTCAGGGAACAACACGTCCACTGCTTTCCCCTCATCCACAGAGCCAGTTATCTCGTCATAGAAGGCAATTAGATTAGTCAGGCACGACTTGCCCTTGGTGAATCCATGCTGACTGTTCCTGATCACTTTCCTCTCCTCAAAGTGCTTCAGAATTGATTCCTTGAGGACCTGCTCCATGATTTTTCCAGGGGCTGAGGTGAGGTTGACTGGCCTGTAGTTCCTAGGATCCTCCTTCTTCCCTTTTTTAAAGATGGGGACTACATTAGCCTTTTTCCAGTTGTCCGGGACTTCCCCCGATCGCCATGAATTTTCAAAGATAATGGCCAATGGCTCTGCAATCACATCCGCCAACTCCTTTAGCATTCTCAGATCTTGGAATCTGTGAGGACAATACACCTAAAGAACTATGGGTGCTGTAGGGTAAATAACTACTTTCTTTTTCAAGTGTTTGTCTGTACAGATTCCTCTCTTCATCACTAGCAAGCAGTATCCTTCTTAAGAGATAGGTAAGAGGAATATCACCTGGAGGACTGCTCTACCAAAGTTTTTAATCTGACCTAGACTCCTGAACCAAGGCATAGTTGGGAAAACACAAAAATGAGGAAGTTAGTTAAACAGAAATTAAGAGGTACAGTGCCAAAAGTGAAATCCCTGCAAGCTGCATGGAAGCTTTTTAAAGACGTCATAATAGAGGCTCAACTTAAATGTATACCCCAAATTAAAAAACATAGTAAGAGAACCAAAAAAGTGCAACCAGGGCTTAACAACAAAGTAAAAAAAAAACACTGAGACACAAAAAGGCATCCTTTAAAAACTGGAAGTTAAATCCTTGTGAGGAAAATAGAAAGGAGCCTAAACTCTGGCAAATTAAGTGTAAAAATATAATTAGGAAGGCCAAAAAAAGAATTTGAAGAACAGCTACCCAAAGACTCAAAAAGTAATAGCAAAATTTTTTGTAAGTATATCAGAAGCAGGAAGCCTGCTAAACAATCAGTAGGACCACTGGAGGATTGAGATGCTAAAGGAGCATAGAATATCAGGGTTGGAAGGGACCTTAAGAGGTCATCTACTCCAACCCCCTGCTCAAAGCAGGGCCAATCCCCAACGAAATCATCCCAGCCTGGGCTTTTGACCTTGAAAACCTCTAAGGAAGGAGATTCCACCACCTCCTTAGGTAACACATTCCAGTGCTTCACCACCCTCCTAGCGAAAAAGTTTTTCCTAACATGCAACCTAAAGGGGAGGTTCGATAGAGCATGGAGCTAGGCTGTTATCAGTGGTGGCAGATGACAGAACGAGGAGTAATGGTCTCAAGTTGCAGTGGGGGAGGTCTAGGTTGGATATTAGGAAAAAATATTTCACTGGGAGGGTGGTGACGCTCTGGAATGGGTTACCGAGGGTGGTGGTGGAATCTCCATCCTTAGAGGTTTTTAACAAAGCCCTTGACAAAGCCCTGTCTGGGATGATTTCAGGCTTAGGATAGGAACTCTGTCTCCCAGTGGGTAAGGGAGATCTACATCTCCTTTGGTGCTGGATTTCTTCGGGCCTCTGTGTTGTGTTGAAGTAAAAGCAGAAGAGGAATAGGGCTTGTGAACATCTGTGGTGTCTGGGATAATATTACAGCTCACAGGAGCACTAATGGACTGAGACAAACAGGGAGGTTTCTTGGCCAGCTTGCCTGGATCAGACAATGCTTGCATCAAAGCCTCCCAGAAGATGTAACTTCAGTCTGCCCTCTCTGAATTAAAGTGTGTACTTTGAAAAAATCTTACATTAAGTAGTGCTCAGGCATATGGTCTTTGCCTAAGCACAGGAGATGCTGAGCATCAATCATGGGTTTTGCTGAGTCCCCGGTAAAGAGATCTTGAATCCTGGAGCCTTGCCTTTAGGCATTTTGATCTTATGTGTGTGTGTGTGTGTGTGTGGCGGGGGGTGTCTAACCATGTACAGAGGCTGGCATGGGAGGGGGAGGGGGGCAGAAATCTTATCAACACACTGTTTCCACAGGGATTTTTTTTTTTAAAATAGAGGACAGGTATGCTAACTAATGAACTGTAAATAGTGAATCAGAAAACAATAGCTAAATAATCTCTTGCAGATTGGAGGTCACTGAGATCGCAGGGCTCCATGTTGAAGCCATAGGTGGTCAGAAGGAACTGAAAGGCCGTTCAGGCTGCCCTGCTCCTTATACCCTCGGCTACAGTGGTTGCAGGGGCTCCCAGGATGCAGAGGAATTCCCGGGGGACACAGCTATTCAAAAGAATATGATTGCATGTGCACAGGTCACATGTGCACCAAGAGTGGAATCTGTGTGCACGATCACTCAAAGAAATTAAACAGCAGTTAAACTGAAACTAACTGGACACAACTCAACTCAAAGCCACATGCCTGGCTGAAAATGCTTTACCTGTTCTTGTTACAAGTAACACCTGAGATCAGTAGAGGTAAATTCAGAGAAAAACGGATATACTTTCACCTCTGTTTTCAGGTTTACTTCCAACAGTTTATAGCACTCTGGGTAGACTCATTGCCACTGCTCCCCCGGCATGGTCAGTCAATATCCACCCCTGTTTGTGAGGCTCATTCAGAGAGCAACAAATGAGACAACATAAGAGACCAAAAGCCAAAAAGAAACAATGTTATTGTAAGGCAAAGAACAATAAGAAATAGAACAAATTGCCCCTACTTGTTCAGGCGTGTTGCCATCATCAGCATAAAGTCTGGGGTCTGCTCCATATTGAAGAAGTGTCTCCACGGCGGCCATGTGACCACCAAAAGCAGCACGATAAAGAGGGGTCCTGCCAAAAGCCCCCTACACAAATAAAAACAATGAACATGAGGAAAATAGTGTCTGACAGTCACATATAGCAATCTCCTGTCATCAGTGCTCTGCACATCTCCACCCACTCTGCATAAAGGACAACCTATAAAGCTCCATCTCCCTCTGCAGAAGTGGGTACCAGCAGGACCTGATTAAAGCAATTTGCAGCCCTAAACACACTCACATGGGGTCTCTTCTGTGCCACAACCCTACTCCTCCACACCATCATCCCATCCCTGCTTAGGGTTGTAATGGCCAGGGCCACTGTCATCTGGATGACCTGACAACCTTAGATATGGAGCACTTGTGGGGGGAGGAAGCCAGAGAATGTAAGAATTCTTTAAAGAGGGTTTACCAGTATTTATTTTATCTACACCCATTTACTTTCAGTCCTATTTCCTTGTAAGTTGTTTCTTTGTGTACCCAAAGCCTTTTTATTCTCTAGAAAGTCCAAAGTCTTTATAGGGAGGCAGAACCCAGCCTGTATCCAAACTCAGTACCTTCTTTTCCTACGTCTTACTGCTCCTCAGACAATGATCTGGTGTGGTCTTTAAAACTCCCCTCTCGAAATTGTTCCCCCAACCTCAGAATGAGGTGGGGCTAATTAATGTAAATCCTAGATCCCTCCCACTCCCAGCAGCTTCCGAGAGAATTTGTGATTGATTAAAGCCAGCTGGATCACACCCTAGTTCTAATTTTCTGAGGTAGTCCACTACCTACAGATTCTTGGGGTTTGGGTTTTTTTCACCCTTGTGACAGTTCATTCTCTCATAGTCATATATATAAAAGCAACCTGCTGAGCTAGAGGGTGGTCTACCATTGCTCCCCTTTGTGCAAGCTGTGGTCTCTCCTCCTTTCTAGAACATCACTCTATTGTCATACAAGCTGGGTTCTGTCCAGAGGGAAGGAGGTCTCAGCCCCTATCATGTGGGCAGGAAATGCTATGTATGCATCTTCCCCACTCAAACTGTGATGGGGTGGCTGCAGCACGTACCCTGAGTTCTCTTTTCATGTGGTGTCAGAAAAGGCCCTCACGTAGAGATAGCAACTAATGTTCCCTCTTTTTTTTTTCTTCTTGTGTGTTGATCAAATGGCTGCCCAAGCTCATAGCACAGCCTCTCCCACCCTCTCCCATCCCACACATTTCCTTCTTCCTCTATCCTCTCCCTCATTACATCTGCTCCTTTCATTCATTCTCCTTCCTGCCTCTTCATTCATTCCAGATCCTACATTCATTTCAATGAGACTTGATTAGCATGACAAACTACACTTATGTTGCCAAAGGTCAAGGAAGAGACAGACTGCTCAGGTCTCTGTCAGGAGTGGATGCAACCCACCCACAATAGACTCCCACACTTCATCTGAGGTTTCAACTTTTGCCCATTTATCATTCCTATCCATTCCTGAGCTGCTAGCAGGTTGTTCCACAGCATGATGCTCTGTCACTCTTTTTTCCCATAGTCAAGAACAGTTTTCCTCATAACTTTTTGATGACACAACTTTATGATACCGGATAAAAGGGGGGAGGGATAGCTCAGTGGTTTGAGCATTGGCCTACTAAACCCAGGGTTGTGAGTTCAATCCTTGACGGGGCCATTTAGGGATCGGGACAAAAGATTGGGGATTGGTCCTGCTTTGAGCAGGGGGTTGGACTAGATGACCTCCTGAGGTCCCTTCCAACCCTGATATTCTATGATTCTATGAATTTGAAAAAACATCTATCTTGCTCTTCCTCTTATTTGCAATATTGGCCTAGAAAATGTTTGTCTCAATCTCTCCTTTCACATTGGCTGGACAGTCGCTCTTTTCTGAGTTTAAACACTTTCTCTCCACCATTCTCAATTTTCCTTATCCCTCTCTTCCCCATCCCCTTCATCATGTTTGTTAAATTTGAGTGCTCAGTCATTCATTCTGCACACAGTAAAAGAAAGAGGCCACTAGGAGGTGTGCAGTGCCTCTGTCTCTTTCCTTTCTTGGCCACTCAGGTTCATCAGAGCCAGCAGCTGAGTCTCCCCCGCAGCTGAGTCCCATTTCCCTGGTACTTTCAAGCACCCTTAAGAGGGGCTCCTCATAGTGGAAGGCCACTCCTCCCAGGGCCTCCTGGGCAAGCTAAGAAGTTTTTCCTTTTCCCTTGCCTCCGTCCCCTTTCCATTAGAGCCAAAAGAGTGACAGGGTCCTCTTCTGTGCAGCAGGGGCCTAGTTGCCCCTGGTTGTAGATGTGGGGCCAGCCATGTCTTCCTTCTGCTGGAGGCTCTCTGCAGTCTCAGACAAACATTACTGCATTGGTTACACTTGAGTCATATTTTCAAACTTTACTTTTTTTTTTAAAATGGAAGTGGACGTTCTGGCTTCAAGTGATTTCAGAATCTGGGGCCTTAGGTATAGGTTTATAATGCCTATGTAAAGCAGCTATGGAACACGATCCACCTTCATGAGAAGCAGGCTCCCACCCCACTAATATCAGAAGGGTTGACTTTACCAAATTGCTATTTTCTGAAGGGAAAAGGGATTTGGGAGTGAAGTTAGGAGGACTGACTACCAGGAGGGAGACATTGGAACATAACTAAACGAAAGGCAGTTGATCAGTGTGTGAAGATGGGAGGGGCACAAGAGAAATTAATAGGTAATGCTATAATTTAGTCATGGGTATTTTTAGTAAAAATCATGGACAGGTTATAGAACGATAGAAGATTAGGGCTGGAAGAGACCTCAGGAGGTCATCTAGTCCAATCCCCTACTCAAAGCAGGACCAATCCCCAACTAAATCATCCCAGTCAGGGCTTTGTCAAGCCTGACTTTAAAAACTTCTAAGGAAGGAGATTCCACCACCTCCCTAGGTTACACATTCCAGTGTTTCACCACCCTCCTAGTGAAAAAGTTTTTCCTAATATCCAACCGAAACCTCTCCCACTGCAAATTGAGACCATTACTCCTTGTTCTGTCATCAGCTACCACTGAGAACAATCTAGATCCATCCTCTTTGGAACCCCCCTTCAGGTAGTTGAAAGCAGCTATCAAATCCCCCCATATTCTTCTCTTCTGCAGACTAAATAAGCCCAGTTCCCTCAGCTTCTCCTCATAAGTCATGTGCCCCAGACCCCTAATCATTTTCGTTGCCCTCCACTGGACTCTCTCCAATTTTTCCACATCCTTTCCGTAGTGGGGGCCCCAAAACTGGATGCAAATCTCCAGATGTGGCCTCACCAATGCCAAATAGAGGGGAAGAATCACTTCCCTAGATCTGCTGGCAACGCTCCTACTAATGCAGCCCAATATGCCGTTAGCCTTCTTGGCAACAAGGGCACATTGTTGACTCATATCCAGTTTCTCATCCACTGTAATCCCCAGGTCCTTTTCTGAAGAACTGCCTCTTAGCCAGTTGGTCCCTAGTCTGTCACAGTGTATTAAGTGAAGACCTTCAAAATATGGAACAATATTTCCGGAAATGGAGGCTCAAACCTGTGACAAAGTAGGGAGTATTAACCTGGTAATGTTGCATGGGAGTTTTACTTGTTTACTGTCTTCTGCTAACACGGGGCGTGCCTCCATTTCCCTGGGGTACTGCACCCAGTACTAGATGGTGATGGCAAGTAAGCGGGTGACTTCACTGACGGATGATACTTGATGGCCAGCACGTAAATGATGGTGACTGGCCTTCGTAACCTGAGCCCAGGAGGGGACTGGGACCAGATGACACCTTCTGCCCGGGAAACAGGACAAAGGCTGGAAGAGAGCTTGGAGGTGTGGCTGGGTGAGGCAGCAGGAAGGGGTTTCAGTTTGGAGCTGGCTGGGGAGACGGCAACATGCCCAGAACCAGGGTCTGGGCTCCCCACCCCACAAGAGGGACCTGGATGAGCACAGGCGCTGATTCTGTGGGTGCTCTGGGGCTGGAGCACCCACGGGGAAAAATTAGTGGGTGCTCTGCACCCATTGGCGGCTAAGCTCCCCTCACCCCCTGCTCCACCTCCTCCTCCTTTTCCCTGCCTAAGCGCACCGTGTCCCCGCTCCTCCGCCTACCTCCCAGCGCTTCCCCCTGGCCACCACCAAACAGCTGTTTGGCGGCGTGCTGGGAGGGAGGGGGAGGAGTGGGAACATGGTGCGCTCGAGGAAGAGGCGGGGAAGAGAAGGGGATAGGGCGAGAATTTGGGGAAGGAGTTGGAATAGGGGCAGGGAGGGGGCGGAGTTGCAGTGGGGACTTTGGGGAAAGAGTTGGAATGGGGGCAGGACAGGGGTGGGAAGACGCTAGGCTGGGGCAGAGCCGCATGGAAGGGATGGAGTGGGGGCAGGGCCGGGGGCAGGTGGGAAGAGGTCAAGCATCCAAGGGAAAGTGTGGAAGTTGCCCCATATGTAACTGGGGGGTCCTGTTTTCTGTACCTAAAAGGTCTGTTTAGAGTGTGTTCCTGTCATCTAATAAACCTTCTGTTTTACTGGCTGGCTGAGAGTCATGGTGAATTGCAGGATGTGGGGGGTACAGGGCTTTGACTCCCTCACACTCCATGACAAAACCAAACCCTGGAAAAACAATAGTAAGCGCATTTCATCTTGATAATAGGAATGCCAAAAGCACACTGAAAGTAGCTTTCTGGGGTAAAAATGTGCAACACGATTACACTCCAACATATCTTGGAGTGAAACTCGACCGCACCCTCTCCTTCCATGATCATCTTGAGAAGGTAGCTGCAAAGATCAAAACGAGAGCCAACATAGTTCAGTTGCAACCTGGGGTGCACCAACATCAGTGCTGCAAACATCTGTAATAGCACTTATGTCATAAATATAAAGGAAGGGTAACCACCTTTCTGTATACAGTGCTATAAAATCCCTCCTGGCCAGAGGCAAAGTCCTTTTACCTGTAAAGGGTTAAGAAGCTCAGGTAACCTGGCTGGCACCTGACCCAAAATGACCAAAGAGGGAACAAGATACTTTTAAATCTGGAGGGGGGGAAAGGCTTTTGTCTGTCTGTGTGATACCTTTGCCGGGAACAGATCAAG